AGAATAAGAATTGGAACTAAAATAATAAGTGTTGCTTTCTAATGATTTCTGGTTCTTACTATGAAAGTCCCAGAGGTTTTTAGCTAGTCTCAAGAGGGCAAGGGAAAAATGGGGAAGAGAGAAAAGTTGCTTCAGTACCGCAATTCCAACCAAAAATAGAAAGTCAGTGATTTATTTGTCAGACTCCAGGAAGACTTTGGTGAGAGGGGGAAATGTACAAATAGTCTGAACTTGTTCCAGCTGAGGAAAAAAACATAGTAGGTAACATGCTTAGGAAATGGTAATACAAACCATAGAAAAATATACAAATTTACAGCTTAGCTAAAGGGTTATTGAGTGTTTAAAGCCAAAGATGAGATATACTTCAGAGGAAAAAAATTCCCTTTGCTATACTTGCATCTCCTAGCTTGTTCTACAACCTAAAGTTTTGCCAAGAAATAGTAGACGTCAGGGTAGTGATGCACCTTGTAGACTAAATGAATCAGAGATGCATACACTTTTGGGAATAACAGCTAACTTCATCAGATCTTAAAATTAATAGTAAGCTGATTTTGATGCGGTTGCTTATTTGGACAAAGAGAAACTTCTTAAAGAGAGATTAAGGAAGGAGGGCTAAATCCTCAGTTATACCACAGCCAGAGAGAGAAAGAAAGCAGATGTAGCTGTCCACTGTGTTTAGGTCAGATGTAAGAACTCTTCTCATTGCCAGATAAGTCCAAAGGACCTGTAGCAAAGGCCCTTGCTGTGTTTGACTAAACTGTATTTATTTTAAACCATTACTACCTACTTGATTTTCAGATCCTATGGGGCTTGTGGGCTATACTGTCACTCCAGATGTAACTCTGCTGAAGTAAGTATATGTGCAGTGGGGAAACAGAATGAAGAATTGGACATTACAGTCCTTATTTCACAGGCTACTCACTCTATGGTGTAGTGGCTCCAAAGCAAGTTTAATGCACCAGAACCTTCCTATCCACCACTCTGATGGGAATTGAGGTGTGAAGATGCAGTCTTTCCATCTTCAATTATTATTTACAGTAATCTCATAAGCAGGGAACTGGGTTTTTCATTCACCGTGGAAAAACGTGGATTTTATCATTTTAAGGAGAAAAATGTATTTCCCCCTTTAAAGAAGAAAAAGGAGGGAAATGGCAGGTTTCCCTGTACAGGCTGGCAGAGTCCCAGGCTGCAAGGGGCTGGGAGGAGCAGTAGGAGGACTATCAGGCACGGGGTGCCACGTGCATGTGCAGATGTAAACATGCACATGGTAGCCAGGAAGCATGAGAACAGCTGCTGCAGCTCCCCACAGGTACATCTATGAGTGGGGATTGAGACCCCCATAGCGAGGGAGGGAGAGAGTTGGGCAGGGCTGTGGCTGTGGCTGGGGGCATTGCCCAGGTGAGGTGGTGCCTGGGGCTTGGGGTCTTGGGCCAGGCAGGAATGTGCAGCTACAGGGCCCAGGTGGGGAGTGGGACAGAACTGCAAGCAGCTTCTCTGGCGGGGGCAGTTAGGGAGCTGTCTCCCTGTCAATGTGTGCACTCCTGGGGGGGACAGGAGGCACATGCCCCCCAGATTTGTGCACTGGGTGGGGCAGATGCAGGCTGGCTGCTGTGGGCTTGGGGGTCCCCACCCTCCCCCACGGGCCTCCATGGCCTGGTGGGCAGGACCTGGTGCAGCAGGGCAGAGAAAGGCAGGGAAGCTCAGTTCTGCCACTGGGAGCCCTGTGCTGGCATGGCGAGGTGCCTCCTGCCCGCCCGGCAGCAGTGGGGGTAGCAGTGTGGAGCTGTGTCCCCTGATGCTGCCAGGATGATGGGGGTGCCTCACCATGGTGGCGCAGGGCTCCAGGCAGTGGCATAAAGCCTCCCTGCCCCACTCTGCCCTCCTGTGCCAGGTCCCATCTGCTGGGCCATGGAGGCCCCAGGGGATAAGCAACAAAGTGGGGAGCCCCAAGCCTGTAGCTACTAGCCCACTTCTGCCCCTTCCCCACTATGGGCTCTGCTCCAGCAGCGCTGCCTGTGGAGGAGGGGAAGCAGGGCTCTGTGCTCCACTCCAGCTGCAGCAGCCACTGCTTCCCACGGGTGGCAGCCAGGGCTAAGGCATTGCTGGGAAGAGCAGGAGGCTGTGCACATAGCCCAATAGCTCTGGCAGCTGGGGGCTCCCTCTGGAAAGGCTGGGGGAGGCAGATGGCTGTGGGGTTATGGATGGTGAGTGAGGGGCATAAGCGGGGTTGTGGGTTAGGAGTGAGGGGCAATGGCATGGCCAGGGCACTGGCATGTTAGGGCTGGCCAGCAGCACAAAGCAGTGGGAGTGGGGATGATAGCCACAGCTGGACCCACATCCTGGTGAGTGAGGTGGGCAGGGAGAGCTGTTTTCCATGAAAGAAAACCTAAAATCAAATGCCAAAATCTATAAGTATTTTGAACTTCTTTGGTTTTAGTGATAGGGCTGTTAGTGATTAGGGCTGTTAGACATGGTTGGAATCTGCCCCAGACTGAGACAGTTCCTGGCCAGCCCTGGGCCGTGAGGGGAAGCAGGGAGGTCCAGAGATCTAGGGCTGCTTGGCTCCCAGGTCCTGTGAGGAGATTGAAGATGAGCAGTACTGCAACAGCGGAGGGGGGAGAGGACTAGGGGCAGAGAGCTACCCTGTCCTGGCACTACTAGGCTCCCAGGTCCTGGAGGGAGCTGGGAGCTGAGGAGTGCTGAGACCAGGGGAGGTACTTGTCCCTTGTGGCAGCAAATTTGGTCCTGGCCAACATCTAAACATGGGGCACATCTGCACATGCATTTGCTCCAGGTGGGTTTACTTCAGCTTAAACCCACCCTGGGCAGGCATCTACACATATAGAGATGTGGAAGCAGATCTGCTGCTCCTGGCAGCAGTCTTCTCCCACCCCATCCAGGCCTGCACTGGCCCCCTGGGTGCTAGCTCATGGGGTGGAAGGGAGTACAGAATCAGGAGACACCTGTCTCCTGGAAGGGGCTGGGAGATTGCTCCCTGCCCTTGGCAGGCTGCCTGCTGCTGTAGCGGGCTTCACCACCAGAGCCTGGGCAAGGACAATGCCCCCTTGTCTGGGCAGCAGGTTGCTCCTGTACCCTGCTCCCTGAGTGGGGGCATAGGATTTGGAAAGAGCGGCAGGGTAGGGCACAGTAAATAATCATGAGTAAATTTGCTACTTGTACTACAGGTAGCAAATTTACTCATGTAACCCGGATACACCCAAGGGTGTACCCTATTCTCAGTTGAATAGGATGGGTAGGCAGGAGGGGGTGCTGTGAGAGGGAAGCCAGAATTTCAAGCAGAAATCTCTTTCCTCTATAAAGCAAGCCCAACGTTCTTAACTTTATACAATTTATTAAGTTACAATATACATAAACATAAAACTGAGTATCATATACATATATTTACACAGAGAACACTAACCAATAACGAAGGTCAAATTCTAAATAACACTATTTACAACATCACAATACAACATTTCAGCTACAAAATATAAGGCGCAAACATGAAGAATCTTAATTACATCTATTCCTTAATATAGTCCCTGATTCATAGCAAGAGATAGTCCTCCTTCCAATGGGGTCCCTTGGTGGGTGTCCAGGAAGCACCAGAGGCCCCTCCCCTTAGGGTCTTGAATAGGTGGGGGTGCTGCTCACATAGCCCCTTCTGTGGGGTTGCCTGCTCCAAACGTCTTTCCCTTGTGGGACCCAAGGGCCCAATGACACACGCTCCCTCAGGTGGTAGTGGTCAGGGCAGAGCTCGATGGGGTTTCCTCTGCTGGAGTGCTTCTCCAGGCCTCTCCTGAGCTGCTGGGCTCCTCTCCACCTTGTGCCACACTCTGGCACCAAGGGCTCAGCTCCTCTCAGGTGCTGCACCACTGCTGCTGGCTCCTGGGTGCTGGGCCTCACGCTGCAGCACTACCATTTCCCTGTGCCCTGGCTCAGCACTGAGAGTTCTCATAGCATAGGCCAGGCCCTTCAGACTCTGTCCATCAGTCCTCAAGCTGGATGGCTAACCCAAGCAGCCTCCACTGCTCCCTGGCTCCCAAGGCTCGGGTCCGTGCACTGCCCTGTGCACTGTGGGACCTGGCTGCTTGCCAGGAGATGGGGCCTGAGCTGCCTCACTGCAGCCCCAAGACTTTTTCCCCATGTGCTACCCCATGTGCTGTGTGGCCCACTGGCCCTGCTGGGGTTGCAGGCTCAAGCTGCCACTTGCAGCTCCCAAAACCTGGGCTCTGCACACCAAACCATGCACCATAATGGGCTCAAGCAGTCACACACCACTCCCAGGGTCAGGTCTCAGGTCTCTGCGCACATTCTCTGTGCTCCATCAACAGCCTGAGCGGTCTGATACTGCTCCCAATGCTGCTTCTCCAATAACCTTGGGCCTACTGCCTGTTGAGGGAGAGCTCCCCAGCTTTTCTTGGCTCCACTCTTCTTGAGTCCCTCGCTGCATCTGCCCCCCATGCTGAGCATGCAGCTCCCGGACTCTGCCCCTGAAGTCTTCTGGACCTGACAGTTTACAGTCTTCAATCAGGTTTGGGGCAGCTCTTCTCCCCCTCCCTTCAGGAAAGGGGCATGACTTTATTTCTCCTGCTGCCTCCTGATTGGTGGATGGGCTCCACCAATCAAAACAGCAGGAACTCAAGCCGGGGACTCAACCCAAGCTCTGAAAGGTGAGCCTGCTACACTCGCAATTAGAGCAAATTACTGCACAGTACGCATCTGCACATGTAGATGGTGACGCTTACTGTGCAGTAATTGTATCTAATCTCAAGTAAAGCACCCACTGATTATAAAGCACCTTTGACCTTCCTGCAGGTCTTAGTAGTATTGGATGGAATGACATTTAGATGGTATAACTCCTTCCCCTCAGATGCAGAGTGGTATGAAAAGTATGAGCTTCTATTTGCTAAATTCTGCAAAATTCCACAAGATTCTATTCCTTCTCTACTTTTCAACATATTTTATGATACAGTCAGAGAAGAGTATGAGACAGTTACCAGTTATAGGATAACAAACACAATTCCAGCAATATCCCTTTTTCCTTATCTCCTCAGCTGGTGCAGATATTGCTGTCTTCTTGCTGGTCCAGAGGCTAAAAGAAACAGGAACATGAGTGAGAAATAGCTGGTTTAGCGTAAGACTGAAATGCAGTTGGCAAAGAGGAAGCATGTGGAAGGACAGCCAAGAAATAGTTTCATAGTTTCATAGATTTAGGGTCGGAAGGGACCTAGTAGATCTTCTAGCCCGGCCCCCTGCCAGGGCGGGAGAACAACAAAACCCCAAAACAAAAACGGGACTCAAATGAGTCCAGCCAGGTAGGCATCCAGCCTCTTCTTAAAGACCCCCAGGGTAGAGGCCAGCACCACTTCCCTTGGAAGTTGGTTCCAGAGCCTAGCTGCCCTAACTGTGAAGTAGTTTTTGCAGATGTCCAATCTATACCTCCTCTCCGTCAACTTGTGCCCATTACTCCTTGTTATGCCAGCGGGCGCTAGGGGAAACAGCGCCTCCCCCAAACCCTTCTGGTCCCCCCTAGTGAGTTTATAGACGGTCACCAGGTCCCCCCTCAGCCTTCTCTTGTGGAGGCTGAATAGGTTCAGGTCCCGCAGTCTCTCACTGTAGGGTCTGCCCTGTTGTCCCCGGATCATGCGGGTGGCCCTCCTCTGGACCCTCTCCAT